CAAAAGAGTGCTCAGCATGACAAATAGAATATGACCATTTTTAAAAGAATTTCATGATGCTGAGAGTGAGGACATGGTTTAAACAATTTCTAAGAAAAATAGAAGGCATGGTCCTGATCTGTGGGTTCAGAGGGCCTGGGTGCTCTTGATGGGACCAAAGCCTCCCATGAACCTCTTCACATTATTTTTGATCTGCAGATCTACTTTATTTGTATAAATGTATCATTGAAATTTAATGGCTACAGAATTTTATCTTTTAGGTAGTACTTGAAACTCCTTGCTCTATACATTATTTTGGAGTAGTCCTAGCTCAAGGAATTATTTTTTCTTGTCATATTTATTTTGCTACTTAAAGTAACAGTATCTCTTTACTAGTGATATGCTATCTTTCTAAAAACTAAATTTAAATACTTGATTGAAACAAATCCTCATCTGTTTGTGACCTGATGTTGAGTTTAAACATTCCTTGAAATTTGAAAAAGGAGACATATTCTAAGTATCTTTAAGGGAGCTAAGAAAGTAATTGTCACAAGAGAAGCAGTTTTCCTTGAAAATATTCTCTGCACTATTTACAAGCAAGTTTATTCTATCAAGATATTGCCTTTTGGTAAACATAACAGTTATTTATAATCTAGTCTATTTCTAGGTCAATAGGAAAAATTATCAATCACGCCAGTACTTTGAAAAATTTAAGAAGATTTGATCTTTCTAAAAGTAAGAGTTTGAAAGGACTCATAACCTTGAATTAGGAACTTCACCTGTGATGGATTACATAAAGCAGGCATCACAACACTCACCAAGGAGGAATCAACCTGTGATTTAAAAATACAGACAGGAAAGGAGATACGACAGGGAAATATCTGCATGCCCACTCACACCCTCTCGTGGGAGGGCACAAATCCCCTGGCATAAGAGGCTTTATTCCTAATTTACATTTCCCTGTGTGATATCATCTGATTTATTATTGATATAGATAATGTTCTAAGACCTAATGAATAGAGTGCTCTCTGAATTTCCATCACAGAAAAGCAAATGAGAAGTTGAATTCTGTGCTTCTTTTTGATTTGGCCTTGAATGTACAGGAAATGGTTAGGGTCAGATGTTTCACCTCCGAAGACAAAGGTTACTGTGAGTACACCTGTGACTGGGAAGCAGGCTTTTTGTAGGAATTCTCGGTCTGGCCGATGTTCCTTGCATGTTTGTATAGCTTTTATAGTTAGCTAGTCATTCTAAAGACACATGTGGTGAGTGATGAGCATGTTTGGGTAGGTGGATTTTGATAACCCACATATTTCACATGATCTCAAGCCTTGGAAAACCTGCTGGAGGTCAGGGAGGCCCATGGGAGATGGGTGAATTTTCCCCAGGTTAAATCCAAGGGAGAATCCCCAGCAGAGGACGTCCTCCCCGGGAAGGCGTGGGTCCGCTGACCACATAGAGCGCAGGCCAGCTGTCCCTGCCAGTGGTCGGGGAAGCACCAGGGAGGTTTCAGAGGAACTTTCTCCAGGAGACCCTGGGATACTGGTTCAGAGGGAAGCGGCCCGGAAGTGGGATTTGGGCAAAGGCGGAGTTGCTCTGCTGAGCCTAGCCCTGCTGCAGTAGAACCTATAGAACCCCTGCTTCCTTCAGGAAGCCAGGGTGAGGCAGCCAGAGTTTCTGCAAATGAATATCCTCTGCTGGCCAGGAGGAACTGGATTTGGCCTGGGTCTATGTTTGGTCCTGAACTTTTGTCTGCTGAGGAATGCTCTCCTAAGTTGGGAGCAGACTAAATTCCACTTTCTCCAAATCTGATTTTCTTTTTACCTCCCAGATTTTTGCCTTTGACAACCTTGTCATTCTTTCTTTTCTTTCTTTCTTCTTCTCTCTTCCTTTCATCTTTCTGTTTCTCTCCTCTCCTCCTCTCCCCTCTTCCTCTGCTCTCCTCTTTCTCCTATCTTCCTCCTCCTCCTTCCTCTGTCTGTCTCTCTGTCTTTCTGGCTCTCTGGCGCTGTCTCTCCTCCCTCTTCCAGTGTAGTATTCTTCTTTAAGGACATGGGAGCCTATTTTTCAGTGAAGCCATCTTAGGGAAGGGACTGACAGCCCACGCCCCCTTCATTCCAGGTTTTTGGCTGTGCCTGCTGGGTGCCAAGACTGGGACCCTGTTCACTCAGCAGTTAAGCTCAGAGGAAGTCTGTGCCACTCGACCCTAACTATATTGACCCAGTGTGACTGGCCACTCCCTTCTTTCCGAGGTGAAGAGGAGGCGTGCAGAGGGTTGGACTGAGTGATCAGCGGCTGTACTAAAGGACAGGAGGACGCCAGTACAGATCTCTCTCCAGAGCCAGGAGTGGGCTCACCTGGCCTAGGCCCCTTCACGAGGGGCTCCAACCACCCTGAAAACAACACCTGTCTCAGCAGAGACTTCCAGACTACCGTCAAAGGAATGCATCAGTATTACGTCTTTGTTTCATTGATTTCCCAAGCAATAGACTGTTCATTTTCCAAGATGGTGTTTTTAGAGCGAATGTGGGACTTTGCGAGTCTGGGCTGTAGACCGTAGTTAGCTGAAGCATGCACTGTGGAGAGGGGTCATTAGGATGGGATGGGTCAGGAGCCTGGGACAGAGACGTTCTTTAGGATCAGAGGTGACTCTGTGCACTACCCGGGAGGCATGCAGGAGAGCCACCAGGCCCCCTCCTCACACATTCCTCTGCCCGGGGGACACGGAGGGTGTCCCCAAAGGGTGAGAACTGTGAGCAGTCCTTATAAACATCACATGCCTCAGAACTACCGATTGGGGAAGAGAAGGAGAAAACAAAAACCAAGCTCTGAAGTTTCCCCGCAGGAGAACCAGCCTCGTTTCTGATTTCTGAAGGCCAGGGTGGTTCTGGCCTTGAGGTGTGGAGACAGTCTCTAGGGATAGCATATTTCCTTTGGGTTTTGGTTGATGAAGCCTTGGAAACACAAATGGCTTGGCTTGGCAGAAATGCACGAAAGATAAACCGCTTAGGAGAGGGAGCCTGTTCCAAGCCCATCCGAGCCCGAGGCTTGCACACAGGTGATGCCCAGGTCTAGTGATTCAGTCTGGCTGCAGAGGGCTGGCCAGACACACTTTTTCTTGTGTCACAAGGCAGCTCCGAATCACTTGGAAATCATAAGTTTCCTGGTTCCTCAGTATTTCCATAGCTGATTTTCCTCGTCAAATTTGTTTGAAAGGAAATTAGATAGAACCAACCAGTTATGGAAAAATGAATTAAGTAAATCACTATGTCCACTGCCTGTTTATTTTCCTCACTGTGTGTAGACTCAAAACTCGAAGCTGCCTCCTCCTCGGACCAGGGTGGCTGCAGTGCGGGACTCGCCTGTCCCACAGGAGCTGGGTCCTCCTGGTGCTGCCGTCCCCACCTCGCCTGTCCTGAGCCCCAGGGTCAACTCATCTTTCTGGCTGTCTGTTGTGCTCTTGGCTGCTCTCTTGCTTAGGAAACTTTTAGTGGTCACTTTCAACTCTAAGATTCTCCTTCCATTAGTGTAAGTCATCTCTCAGAATCCACTTGCTTGGAGTTGTCTTCATTGCTTGCTTCTCCTTCGTGCAAAATAATGACACTGTAATTGTTCAAAGCAAGCTTTGCTCTAAATGCTATCAAAAAGTGAAAGTGGGAAGAGAGAAGCCACAGACCGGGGAATAATACTTCAATAGACATAAGGAATAAGAAACTGATCGGAAAGATATCAAGATCCACCAGTTCTCAGTAGTAAGATACAAACAGCACACTTTTCAAAAATGGGCCCAGCTCCTTCATAGACCTCTCACCAATAGTGACAAACAAGAATGCGGGAGAAAATATAGATTCTACTATGTGCACACCCAGACCACTGATAGCACCGGTTCTGATGTGGGAGGAGGCAGCGTCCATTCAGGGCCAGGACTCAGGAAATGGACAGACCTTTTGGAAGACACTTGAACATTTTCTTTCAAAACTAAACAAGTTGTCCACTAAATCGTGCTTCTTGGTGTTTAGCTAAGAAAAAAGTCGAAATCTTATATCCATAGGAAGTCCTGCACACCGATGTCTAGAGCGGCTTTATTCTTCACTGCCAAAGTTGGAAGCAACAAAACCTCCTGCAGCAGGTGCATGAATAAATGTACAGCCACACGGCAATGTGCCACTAACACTGATGGCCAGGCCACAAGGACTGGGGTGAGGCTCACTGGCTTAGTAGTGAGAGACTCGGGACCAACCTAAAAGGTGCTTGCTGCATGATTCCAATAAGCAAAACTACGGAGACCTCACAAAGCCCAGCAGTTGCCAGGGACAGAGAGCTGGAGACTAGGGTGACAGGCAGAGCTCAGAAGACTGTCAGGGCAGTGACACCTTCTCCGTACACTGTGATGGCGGACACATGTCATGACCCCTTTACCACCCCATTAAAGGCTCAGCAGCACCCGGTTCGAGTCCTAGTGTAAACTATGCGCACTGCGTGAGTTCCCTGGATGCTGCAACGTGTCTTTGGAGTGGGGTTAGTAACTGTGGCCAGCGCGGTGAAGACCAGGGACACATGGAAATCGCCGTCCCCAGCTTGCAGTGTCACAGTCACTCTGGAGATAAAGGTCTACTTCTAAAAGCAGAAATGGAAGAAACACTGAGTGTTGTGACACAGCTCGAAGCTTACTTTATATGTTTTTATTATTATTATTTATATGTATTTATTAATTTGATCAAGTTTCAAATATTATAGAGAGATACTTGAATTATAAGTTAAGAATATAAATAGAGGGTTATAAACTATTTTATTGAATTGTTTTGGTACTCACATGTTTCATATTAATATTTACTTTTATTCATAAAATAGTGTTAAAACCAGCGTGACACATTTCGCTTATTTCTACATGAGCACATATTAAAAACTATAAACCTGTGCATATCCCTAATGAAAAGTGGGACTCTCTTCCATCTGTCTCACAGACAAGCAAATATACTGTCAATTAAGGTTTTTTCCTTTTCGTCTCTCACTTTCCGTAGATTTGCTGCTTTCAAACAGCTGTGTGCCCTTCCTGGGCTCCGCGGAAGGCTTGGATTTCCAGACTCTTCTGTTGGATGAGGAGCGGGGCCAGCTGCTGCTGGGAGCCAAAGACCATGTCTTCCTGCTCAGTCTGGCCGACCTCAACAGCAACTTTAAGAAGGTCAGTTTGTTTCCCTCAGTTGACTGGACTCTCAATTTCCTCTCTGCTTTTCTCCAGCTTTAAGTCAATGTTGAAAACAACAGGTTCCTCACATGTCAGAAAAAGAACAAACTATATTAAAACCAAAACACTGCCCCATTTGGGGACATTTGGGTTTTTGTGGACTTAAGTATACTTGCATATTCTTTATTAATAGTGAGTGCATAAAGTTCTAAATCCTTTGAAAATGTGAGTGAAATGCATCAAACTAGTGTGTTGTTTGTATAGAGTAAAAATGCAAAGTTTTGGATTGAAGAAATGGCAAGTAAATTATCCCTCAAGAATGAACATTTCTATATACAGCACTGTCAAATTTTTTTCAGCTAATTTTTGGTTGATGAACTCCTGGTCTTGCAGTCCATGAAGCCAGGCGCCAGGCATAGCTATGGAAACCCTGCACGAGGCTGCTTCTGGCTCCCTGCATGGCAGTAGCCGGGCAGCTGCCTGCACTGCTCTGCCGAGCCTTGGGAGGCAGAGGTGGAAACAGGGAGCAAAGCCAAGCACAGGATTTTGTCTCGAAGCTCAGCATTGGCCCAAAACAAGAGCTAGGGACAGAGTCCGACAGCCCAGAGTGGGGCCTGCGCTAGGAAACACTAGACCTGCCCTGGCGTCGGGAGGAGACAGGTGAAAAGGACACGGTGTATGGCCTGCATCAGTGCCAGCTGTGCAGTGGGCACAAGTCTGCTCTCCTCATATACCACACAGAGGCTGTGTGACTAAGCGGGCCTAGGTCGTCATGGCCCTTGGCAGTCGAGGCACTGTCCCTACCTCTGGACCCGACCATGGGCTTTCTCCAGGCTGGTGTTAGGAGATGGGGCCTCCAGACCTGCCTGGTGGAGAGGAGAGACCTGTGCCCCAGTGGAAGAGTCACGTGCTCTGGCCACATCACCCCCTGCTACAGTGTGGCCCTGCACATCCTGAGGTCCTGGCAGCTGTGGGACTCAGGTGCTGTGCAGCTTTGAGTCTCCTTTAGTGGAAATGCCTTCATCAGCGCTGCTCTGACCCGGGCAGCAAAGTGGGGAGCAAGGTTCCATTCACAGAGGGTGGAACAACCCAGACAGCACAGGGCTATCATCTGGGGCCTCAGCACTGGGCTGGGAAAAGCTAACACAGGCCCGATCCTGTCAGGCACCAGCCAGCCCCAGGACAGTGCCCATGGACAGAGCCCCAGAGTTGGGAGGAGCCTCATGGACCTCAGTCCACTGAACTGCTCTCCGGGCCGCTGTCCCCTTGACTAGGTCAGTAATCTTGGCTGCTGAGCCCACATCAGCAGTAAGCAGCCCACAGCAGTGTGGTGTTGGTCCTACCCAGGGCTGGGTCCGTCCTGCGGGCTGTGGACTCAGGATGTAGCTAGCACAGCTTTGCAGCATTGAGGACCCTATGTGTGGTATAAGAATGTAGGGCTGGTAACTCCATGGCGAACTGCCCCAGCCAGGCAGATCCCTGTAGTGCCCAGCCACGGCAGGTTCCTGGGGAAGAAATCCCTAGGTTTATACTGGATCCAGAGACAGGGTGGGATGGGTGGATTCCTCTTTTCAAGGACCGCCCCACCAGTTCCCACTTGCAGATTTGGGATAAGCTTGGGCTTAGGTGCCCCTCCAGTGCTGCAAAAAGAGCGATACTCTAACACAGGCTTGGTGACAAGTGGCTGAGAGCACCATTTTCTACTAAAACAGCAAAAATACAAGTTTCAGGATATTCAGTAGTCTGCTCGAAACTTCAGGCACAAATAAAGCCAAATTAACACTGGCATGAATATATAACCTTTCAATATCCAGACAGTGTCACACATTCAATGGCAGAAGCGTTCAGAAAGCCATAATCTCACCCTTCATTCAAAATGAGGTACCAGAAACGAACACGAGAGTCACCAGGATGGGGGAACTCTCAGATGGAGAATTTAAAGCAGCAATTTTAGGGGAATGCAAAATCCTTCAGGAAAACGCCAAGAAATGGTTCAGTGCTTTAACACAGAATGTAACAGAGGAAAATACATTTAAAAAGCAAATCTGAGTGGAAACATACACTAGGTAAAATAAAAATCATAATAATCAGGCCTCAGTAATAAAATCAATCACACCCACAAGAATGAATGTGTTTGAAGACAGGCCAGCTGAAAATACATAATCAAAGGACAAAAAATTAATGAGGGGTGAAAGTTTGCAGGAACTTTGGGACCTCAAGGAGGACAAATACCAAGGTTATTGTTTTTTAAAATGAATTTTAAAATGACCAATGTACTGACAACTATTTGTTTTTTTTTTCTTTTATTGAGTTTATTGGTACATTTTAGGTATACAGTACAATTACATTCATTATTGGGATCTTGTAGCTCTATATGACAGGTCTTCATTCTCATTTTTTTCCCCTTGCCTGAGCCCTCCCTTCACTCCCTCCTCCCCTCCCCATTTACAAACACTTTATTGCATTTTCTCATATTTTTTCCTTTTCCCTTATTTCCTTTCCCTTACCCTTCCCACTTCCCCTACACCTTTAGCCCTTTTCTTCCTATTTCACTTGGTCATTTATCTCATTAGGATCTTATGTGCTATTATAGTTGTTTACACAAGAGAAACTATTCAGTATTTACACATGTGAGACTTATGTATTTCACTTAGGAGTATATCCTCAATATGTATCCATTTTCCTATGAATGAATCTAATTTCTCATTCTTTATGGTTGAGTAGTATTCCATTTTATAGAAAAACAAGATCTTCCTTATCCATTTTCCAACTGATGGGCAAATGGGCTGTTTCCAAGTCTTAGCTATTACAAACTGTGCCACTATAAACATAGGTGTGCATATATCATTGTGGTATGATTCTTTTAATTCTTTTGGAAAGATACCCAGCAGAGAGATGGCTGCATCAAATGGAACCTCTAGTCCCAGCTCTTTGAGGCATCTCCATATTGATTTCCATAGTGGTTGCACCAGTCTACACTCCCACCAACAATGGAGAAGGGTTCCTTTCTCCCCTCAACCCCACCAACATTTGTTATTATTTCATTTCTTGATAGCAGCCATTGTTTGTGGGGTGAGGTGGAATCTCAGTGTTGTTTTCATCTGCATCTCTCAAAAGACCAGTGATGCAGATCATTTTTCCATATATTTACTTGCTGCTTTTAATTCTTTGTCTGAGAAATGTCTGTTCATTCCAGATGGCTATTTTTGAATTAGGTCTTTATTTTTGGGGGGGCTGATTGTTTTGAGTTCTTTATTTATTCTAGATGATAGTCCTTTGTCTGAGGAACAGCTGGTAAAAATTTTTTCCCACATTGTAGATTGTCTCTTAGTTCTGTTGATGGTTTCTTTTGCAGTGCAGAAGCTTTTTAATAAGATGAGATCCAGTTGTTGATTCTTTTTGCTATTTCCCGTGCTACTGAGGATTTGTTCATAAAGTCTTTCCCTATGCCAATGTCTTCAAGAGTTCTGCCTAATGTCTCTTCCAGCAAGTTTAGTGTTTCTGTTTTAATATTTAGATCTTTAATCCACTTGGATTAATTTAGTGCATGGTGAAAGTAAGGGTCTAGTTTTAATCTTTGGCAGATTAAGATCCAGTTTTTCCAACACCATTTATTAAAGAGGCTATCTTTCCAGAGCCAGGGATTTAGCTCAGCAGTTCAGTGGCATGCCTGGACCTGAGTTCAATCCCCAGTACCAAAAAAAAAAAAAAAAAAAAAAGGTTATCTTTCCTCCATTGAGGATGGGGAGATCCTTTGTCAAAGATGAGGTAGCTGAGTACATCTGGAGTTGTTTTTGTGTCTTCCAGTCTGTTCCACTGATCCTCAGGTCTGTTTCTATGCCAGTACCATGCTGTTTTTATCACAGTGGCTTTGTAGTATAGTTTCAAATTGGGAATTGTTATACCTGCTGCTATATCTCTGTTGCTTAGGATGGCTTTTGTTATTCTAGGTCTCTTCTGGTTCCAAATGAATTTTTGGATTCTTTTTTCTAGTTCTGTGAAAATAGTGTTGGAATTTCAATTGGAATTGCATTGAATCTGTATAGCATTTCTGGTTGTATTACATTTATTGACTTATGCATGTTGAACCATCCTTGCATCCCTGGAATACATCTGACTTGGTCAGGATGTATGATCTCTGTGTTCTGTTTTCTAGTATCTTATTTAGGATTTTTGCATCTATATTCATTAAGGAGATTGGCCTGTAGTTCTCTTTTTTAGTTGTGTCTGTTCTGGTTTGGGAATCAAAGTGATACTTGCTTCCAGGAATGAATTTGGAAGTATAGCTTCCCTATCAATTTCATTGAAAAGTTTGAAGAGTAATGGCAGCAGTTCTTCTCTAAATGTCTTGTAAAATTCAGCTGTGAATCCATCAGGACCTGGGCTTTTCTTTATTGGCAAATTTTTAATTACATTTTCAATTTCATTGATTGTAATTGGGGTGTTTAAAATGTTTTTATCTTCATTCAACTTTGGTACTTCATAAGTATCTAGAAATCTGTTCATTTCTTCTGTTTTCCATTTTGTTAGAGTACAGGTTCTCAAAGTAGTTATTGATTATCCTCTGGATTTCTGTACTGAGCCTTTTTTCCTTTTTTTGGTAAGGATAGCTAAGGGTTTATCAGTTTTATTTATTCTTTCAAAAAACCAACTTTTTGATTCATTTATTTTTTGTATTGTTTTCTTAGTTTTCATTGCATTGATTTCTGCTCTTATCTTTATAATGTCCTCTCTTGTTCAAGCTTTGGGTTTTTCTTGCTCTTGTTTTTCAAGGAGTCTAAGATTCATCATTAGGTTGCTTATTTGAGCTCCCTCTGTTTTCCTAGTGTGGGTATTCAGTGCTATGAATTTTCCATGTAGAAGTGCTTTCGTTGTGTTCCATAAATTCCTGTATGTTGTATTGGCATTTTCATTTATTTGTAAAAACTGTATGATTTCTTCTTTAATTTCCTCTGTGATTCATTGATTGTTCAGGAGAATTATGCTCAATTTCCATG